TTATTTTGGTTCCCACCCGAGAATTAGCTTTACAAGTCAGCGAAGAAGCCAAAAAATTAGCGGCGGTTAGCGGTTTAAGAATTTTGGCTATTTATGGAGGGACGCCTATCCAAAAACAATTGGATTTTTTGCAGCGGGGGGTAGAAGTGGTGGTTGGCACGCCGGGCCGCATCATCGACCATTTACAACGTCAAAGTTTAGCCACCAATAAGCTAAAATTCGTCATTTTGGACGAAGTTGACGAAATGATTAGTCAAGGATTTTTAGAAGCTATTGAAAAAATTATCCGCCAAACTCCAGCCAGTCGCCAAACCTTACTTTTTTCGGCGACTATTACTCCGGAAGTAAAAACTTTTTCTCAAACCTACTTGAAAAATCCGGAGTATGTGGTCAGCAGCAGCGAAAGTCCGCAATTAAACGCCATTGCTCAATATTATGTTGAGACTCCGTTTCGGGAAAGAACCCGGAATTTAATTAATTTTCTGCGGGTTAAGCAACCGGAAGCCACGCTAGTTTTTGCTCGGACCAAAAAACGTGTGGAAAGACTACAAGAAATATTAACCAGAGCAGGTTGTAAGGCTGATTACTTACATAGTGATTTATCCCAAAGCCGCCGTATTCGGGTGCTGGGTAAATTTCGTAATAAACAAATTCCTTTGCTAGTTGCTACCGATGTGGCCGCCCGCGGTATCGATATTAAAGGTATTTCGCATGTCATTAATTATGACTTGCCCCAAAATACCGAATTTTATATCCACCGCATCGGCCGGACCGGTCGGGGAGGAAAAACCGGTCAAGCCATTAGTTTTGTTAGTTCTTGAAAAGAAAAAGAACAATTACAACAAATTAGCCAAGAGAAAGAATATAAAATTGAGCGGCTAATAGTACCGAATTAAAAAAATTAGGGTAATTATAGCAAAATTACACTAAAAAATTAACTTTTTTTTTTCCTAAAATTTTTTTTTTTGCAAAATTGACTAGTGTTTTGGTGATGTAAAATTGTATGTAATTGCCATTTAGTTTTATTATAGAAAAACTTTTAACTTACTTCTAGGGGGTTGTTCCCTGATTTTACGGCTTTTTTTTGTGGTTTTTTTCAAATAGAGAGAGAGAGAGAGAGAGAGAGAGAGAGAGCAGAACTATTACTGTTCTTTCTCATCAAATAGTATTTTCTTGCTGGTTTAATTTCTGCTTTTGTTGATTAAGGATTTCGGTGTCAGTAGTTAATTTATTCTCAATCAGAGTTTTGCTGGCTGTCTCTTCCGCCAGTGCAAGTTCTAATGCTGCTTGCTCGCTTTGTAAGTTAGTAATTGTTTCTCGTAATTCGCCTGAGTCGGAATTCTTGAGACGGTCTATTTCTTCTTGCTTCTGTTTTAATTGAGCTTGGAGTTGAAATTTCTCTTCGGTTAATTCCTTTACTGCTAACTCAGTTGGAGAGAGAATGTCGTTTCCGTCCGTTAGGTTTTTCAAACTTTCGGCTAAGTATTCATAGTTATTAGATAGGTGTCTCGATTTTCTAAATTTTTCTTTGATTTCTT